GCTTTACAACGCCCACTACTTCAAACTGTAATCATTTAGTGAACACATGTGTGAAATTCGTTCGACTGCGAAGAGGGAAGTGTAAGTTGTTTTTTTGAACGATTTGAATATAATCGTGATATAGAAAACCATAGACCTACCACTCAGATGAAACTGAATTTGTCTCTGCCGACAGAGCCAGCATAACGATCACAAGTGAATGTCAAATTGTTTACGTCGACTCGTCAATGCCAAATTGCGTGCCAATTTCCCACGTAAAAGCCTGAAGGAAAGCATAGAAAACAAACGCTGGCACACAAAGTATGTGGAAAAACTGAAGCTATTAAAGAAATCTGTAAAAAGAAACAAAAGAAGAGAAGAGGAAAACACAATAATTCTCCAACACAAACTTGGTTAATCATGGGTTTCCTGTTAATTCACCATATTTTTTTTTAGGTTTATTAAAAAAGTTAAAATTCTTAGGATTTCTAGATCTTCTGCCTGACAAATTGGTTCTGAAATTGAAAACACGCTACCCAAGCAATACAACAGTCGCACTTGCGCATACGATTAACCGCTTTGTTGACAGACTGCATCTGAGAGGACAAGAACTACTAAAATAGAATTTAACATGCAGTATGAATAGTGTTTGGTAACAATTTGCCGTATTTCCATTTCTTTTAGCTTGTTTTCAAACTCCGTTGAACCGCCTTACAAGTGAAGCTGGTGGGCGGGCGCTCGAAAATATTAAGGCGTAGGCAGTTTGAAGCAAAACCCTTTATGGCGATTGAATTAAGAGTACAGTTGGACCTCGATAATTCGAACTCGGATAATTCGAAGTCCCCGCTAATTCGAAGTAAATTCATTTCCCTTTGTTTTACCCCACTTTTCTCAGTCATTTTACTTCGGATAATTCGAACTCGGATAATTCGAAGTCCCCGCTAATTCGAAGTAATTTCTGTTCCCTTAGGTCGGATTTTACCCCGTTAATTCGAAGTTAAGTTACCGGCTGAATGAAAAAGAACAGACGCTGTCGGAAATTAGAATATATATTTATGTAATAACAGTTTCGAACATTTCACAGCTCGTTAATCCTTTATAATTGTGTAAAAAAGTTGTCTGTTCATTAATCCCTTTACTCTACAATATATGCGGTGCTTTATAAAAGTTATTAACATGTCGATATGATGAAAATCCATGTGCCTAAAGAGTTGACGAAAAATCCAATTTTAGTCTTTCAGCTTTGTGAACTCTCTTTCAAAAATACTGACGTATTTCTTCTGTCCCTCAAAATAAATAGCGCTCTCTACTGCGAGGATCGTGCATTATAAGTATCTATAACCGCAGTTCAAAAATATATGAACTTCATATATTCATTGTATCTGATTTATCATCACGGGTTTATTACGAATCAACTTAACGACCTGCTCCGTCAA